CGAGGATAAGGCATCCTGCATCCCCCCGTGCCGAGGAGGCGGTGAGTTGGAGCCGGGGGGTGGGAGCAGCTGGGCGGGGAAGGTGGAAAAGTTGATGCCAGCCTCTCTGGCAAGAAGGAGGTCAGCTGGGAGCCGAGTCACCGCTGGGGTTGGAGCAGCCAGCTCCTTCCCTTTCCCGACGGGAAAAAAAAGCAACAGGCAGAGCCAGCCAGCCCCGGCCGGCCCGAGCCCTGCAGGCAAGCTGCTCTCCCTCTGCCGGGAGCAAACAGGGACTAAAACAGCGTCGGGACTTCCCTCCCACCAGAGGAGCTGCCCTCCTGCTGGTGTCCGTCAGAGCTGGGCCTGCCTGCCCCGCGGGTGTGGTTCCCTCTGCTCCAGGAAATGGCTGAGCTCAAGGAAGAGCCTCGATTTCCCACTCCCTGTGCAGCTTTTACTGTTCTCTCAGCTCTCTCTTGTTGATTTTTTTTTCCAGCTTCCCTGAATAAGCAGTAACTCTTCTTCTCTCCTCCCGCAGGTGCTTCTCAGAGCAGAAGCTTCTCTTCTGAAGCTCAGAAAATCATTCAGAGAGACCAGAGATGCCTTGGCCAAGCAGAAAGAGAGACAAAGGAGCAGTAGCAGGTCTGTGCTGACACACTAACTAATTTAGCATGTCTTGCTTGAGGTTCCAAGCTGTAGTGAAAGTACAGACATCTTAACGGTCTGTCTTTCAAAGCCACGTCTTGCAGACAGCATTTCCTCCCTAAAAATGGGCTGAGCATCCATGTGTGACTGAGACCAGCCTGCTGGGTGTGCCCCAGGGACCACGAGGTGTTCTCAGGACAAGGTGGTTCAATGTAACTCGTGCCCTTTTATGAGGAGCTTTTGGGTCCTGTACGTTAAGAGATGGTGACTCCAAGTATAGCCAGGAAACCAATCTGGTCCCAGCTGCCAAAAACCCAACCCCTGGCACTGGAGACAACATGATGTTGTTGGTGTTTTAAGGTCTGAGATGAAAAACCTACACAGTTAGCCTTATCCATGCCACTCATCTGCTTAACTGACTCCAGGAAATAACCACCTTCTTACCTTTTAATCTCTTCTTAACTGTTTTGTGCTGTCTGGGCCCTGGATAAACAGGGATGGAGACCCCCTATGAACAGATAGTGCAGTTGCCCCTTAATCTAAGGTTTCCAGCTACTGCAAGAATTGGAATAGCTTGCTTTGCTGCTGGATTTTCCTGTTACTCACCTAAATCAACTTAGTTGCTGCAGCTGATTACTCAGCAATTAATAATAAAAAAATTCAGCTACACTTCATGTGAGCAACATGGGTTATCCTGGCTTTTTATTGTGATGAACTATGACTAATGAACTACATTTGTGAACACCACACAAAAGACACGTATCCTAATTTCAGATGCAAACTAGAGATACTCAAAACACTGGTGCAGAACTACCTTCCACATGGCATTTGGGGTGCACCAAACTTCTGCTGCAGTCAGATACCAGTGTGAAACTAGCTTGGGCAACGACAAATGTTTCAGCATCAGTCCTTGTTGGAAATGTTTTAGCTGAATGTGTTGGGTTTTTTGTTTCTTTGAAGATAAAAAAGAGCCTGATGCAAAAATGGCCAGAACTGAGGAGGAGACTTCAGATAAGGAGGAAGAAGAGAAGTCCACAAAACCTCCAGCTGGGAGTTCAAAGTCAGGATGGAAGAACTGGAAGAAGACAAAAGAATCTGACTCGGGTGGGGAAGAAAGCAAGATAACTTACTGTCACTGGCTGCTGAAATCAGAACCTGAGAGCAGACTCGAGAAGGGAGTGGATGTGAAAGTAAGCACTGACACCCTGTGCCTGAACCTTGAGGAGCAGATAATTCAGATTGTTTGCAGTATTAACACTATCCTGTTGCCTATTGTGATGAACTATGACTAATGAACTACATTTGTGAACACCACACAAAAGACACGTATCCTAATTTCAGATGCAAACTAGAGATACTCAAAACACTGGTGCAGAACTACCTTCCACATGGCATTTGGGGTGCACCAAACTTCTGCTGCAGTCAGATACCAGTGTGAAACTAGCTTGGGCAACGACAAATGTTTCAGCATCAGTCCTTGTTGGAAATGTTTTAGCTGAATGTGTTGGGTTTTTTGTTTCTTTGAAGATAAAAAAGAGCCTGATGCAAAAATGGCCAGAACTGAGGAGGAGACTTCAGATAAGGAGGAAGAAGAGAAGTCCACAAAACCTCCAGCTGGGAGTTCAAAGTCAGGATGGAAGAACTGGAAGAAGACAAAAGAATCTGACTCGGGTGGGGAAGAAAGCAAGATAACTTACTGTCACTGGCTGCTGAAATCAGAACCTGAGAGCAGACTCGAGAAGGGAGTGGATGTGAAAGTAAGCACTGACACCCTGTGCCTGAACCTTGAGGAGCAGATAATTCAGATTGTTTGCAGTATTAACACTATCCTGTTGCCTAAAAAAAAAAAAAGTGTCCTACTAGAAACAGACATAATGTTGTTCTCTTCCAGGGAGACAAGCCTGGGGTTTGATACTTGTGATAAAAGAGGAAGTCAGGGCCCTCAGGTTGCTTAGCTGTTGGTAGCAGAGGCAACACCTGTTTCAGACCCTGCTCCTTTGGGAAGGCTTTTCTTTAGCTACTGTGGGAACCAAAAAACTGTCAAGTCTGTACTAGAATTGAAGGAGCTACTAGGAACAGGTGTGCAGGCACAAAGAGACAGTCAAGATCAGACTGCCTCCTGAAATTAACCTGTATTTCCCTTCCATCTGGCAGTTCAGCATTGATGACTTGAAAGCCCAGCCCAATCAGACAACCTTTTGGGATGGAGTAAGGAACTACCAGGTAAGGAGCACTATGATCCCCCTACTAAATGTGCTTCCCCCCTGTGTATGATCTGCTCTACTGCTTGTTTGCTGGCAGCTAACCCAGGTCTCCTGCTATCTCTGAGCAGCTGAATTCCTACATACCTTCTAATCCACAGGATCTTCCTCTGCAGCTTTGTTTATAGTGCATTTCACTGCAGCACAAAACATCTGGACAACTGTAGGAAACCTTACCTGAGCAGCTCTGAAGCACATACACCTCTCTTGGTGTCAGTTCTTCTTCCTAGCTGCTTATAATGAAATCCTGAGAGCTTGATACAAAGAGCTCAACATCTCTTTTTTAACACCTGACAGGCAAGGAATTTTCTGAGAGCCATGAAACTTGGGCAGCAGGCCTTCTTCTACCACAGTAACTGTAAAGAGCCTGGCATTGTTGGCATTGTCAAGGTGAGTGCCTCTTTCTTGTTCTGTGTTTTGGGGCAGGGAGGGAAAGTAACAACCCATGGGTTATCAAACAGCTCTTTAGCCCTACTTCTGTCTCAGCACCAGAGTGCAGAAGTTGTCCAGTCAGAGCAGGAGTGAGCCCAGGGCACCCAGGCTCAGTGGTGCACAGCCAGCAGGGCTGACTCAGGCTCCTTTCCCCAGGGAAATGGAACCAAACTGCTGCTTTCCTGC